TTTTATGAACTTTTTTGACTGTTTTGAACAAATTTAATGGGGAAAAGGCAATAGTTTCTCCTAGAGCGCCTGTTTTCGCTTACAACTCCGACTTACAAATTAAATATACGAAACTTTTCGGGCGAACTAACACAAATTGGAAGCAAAAACTGATGGCATCGTGGACTGATTGGCGTACAGGAGCTGAACAGCAAAGCGGACAAGCTGCCGTGTACAAATACGTGAAAGAAAAGATGAAATTCTCGTTGCAGAAAACTGTTCCATTAATTTTTACATACAATGACCTGAATCAGCGTTTTTGGTGCTTCGCCTCCTTGCCCTGCTGGGACAACGTCGTGGGCGTGAACCGGGACAGTGACTTCACCAATTACTGTGGGCTGAGCATGCAGACGTGAGTGCGGCTAACGCTTGGTTCCCAATGAATCCGGGCTCAGGTGGGAGTTTGCGCATTCGCCATTGCAGCACAGCATCATGCAATGTGCTGGCGCTGAAGCTGAAAAGCGTCGCTTGGAACGTGCAGAGAATCTAAAACAATTTGTAAAAAAGGGATGTGGATAGCAACAGGAACGTGCAGGACGCTTGAAATTAAATAAATTATAACACACCGATGATGATATACCCTTAACAGGTCTATTAGATAAAGTAGTCATCAAATTTGAATCTCGAGTTCATGAATTGCCTGCTTATCCTTGTCCCTAAAGTATGTAGAAGTCACATCGATCCGGCTTATTCTTGGGTGCGTCTAGCTTCATAAAATTGAATTAGTAACATTTGAAATACGTCATGTCACAAACATCCTGAGTCAGTTAATATGCACTTTGCTGGACTATACATGAATAAGCCGGCCTGTCAGTCGCTTACAATTTTGCTGGCCTTTCATTTGCAGCAGCAGCAGACTAAAACAAGGCGAAACCAACTAAATTACTTATATATATATATATATATATAGAGGGTAAGCAGTGGTCGACCAAGCAGCAGAGGTCAAGGGTCGGGCAATATAATGATGCCTTCAACTCCACACGTTACAGTATTTTTTTAAACAGATTTTATTATAGAATTCGTTGCGAGCAGATTAAAATCAGTATCTTTATAGTAGTCCCTTCTGTTGGTGCTGATGTCTGAAAAAGAGTACGAAAATGCTTATTAATAATATAAAACAGAAAGTGCAGAACTGTTTATTAACAAACTTATGGAAAGAGTTAAAATATGCACTCAACTGTAAGAAATGATACATGTTATGAAGTACTGCAATTAGTAGAGCCTGTAAGAACTCTCATATTCCAGTATGTAAACAACCGACAAATATTGACACGACTGCACAAACGTGTATGGGTTCGAAAAATGCAACTTAAAAACCAAATGCTTTAACACATTTTTGGTGTTTCGTTTACTGATTTAACGGAACGAGAAGTATTTCGGCAAATCATTGTAAATGACCAATGGCTGGTAGCAGCCAGAGCGCTGTGTGCGCCCGGGATGGGCCGCAAATATACTTACTTGCATACATATTTGCAGGAGCGTAGTTGCGAATTTTCATAGTCTATTTCCCTTTAGGGAAATTGGCAAAAAAAATGTAAATAACTGAAAAATGCTCACAGAAAAACAATATTTTTTCGTGGCGTACTTTCGACATAGCCGCCAAAGCTTCAAAAAATAATAATAAACCACAGTCATTAGCTATATATAAAGCAAGAGTATTTTTTTCTGTTGATGGTAATATTTATTAATTACTATATATTTATATTCTTATTCAACATTGAATTTTTGCCGAACAAAGCCACATACGCATGAAATCAATACGCTTTGGAAGCAATAATAAATTCAATTGTTTATGCCCCTACAGCATGTCCTTGCTACGCCACTGAGCGTGTGAATATGAATGTCTGTACATATGTATATAGAAAGATATACACACACACACATATATATATATATATATATTTATATTGTAAAAGTTGTTGTTGCCGATGCTGCTGTTGCTGGCCATTTCAACATTGTTTTATGGTTTTGGCAGCATTTAAAAAGCGAATTCATTAAATTGTTGCACAAAACTGGCATACGCCCCGTTGTCAGTAAAACAAACAGAAATCAGCGAATATATATTATTATGTATGGTACAGTGATTGTCTGCATACACACATTCAAATGTAACACAACAAAAGAACAACAAATACAAAAATAACATTTCTAGCATTTAAACATAAATTGCTTGTAATTTAAGAGACATGTTTATAAATATTTCAATGTTTTCCAATTTTGCTTTATGATCATCATCTTAGTCTTGTTGCTTTGGCGATGGCATTTCATTGGGTGTAATATTGTTTCCCACTCATTTGCAGAATAAATTTATTGCAAAGTGCTTGTGGCTATTTAACGTTTTTAATTGAAAAACTTTTGTTTTTGTTGTTGACGCCGGTGCCAGGCTTCGTAGGACTGCGTACTGCCTAGCTTCTTCTGCTGATTCACAGCAACGGGCAAGACAGGTTGGTCACCGCTGGTTGTGGGGCCGACTAAGTTGCTGCGGCTGTCGGCGACAACTACTTGCAGCCACTTATCATAATTAGCCCTGTGCTAGTGGTGCAAATGGTGAAGTTTTGCCTCAATATACTAACCAGAGGTGCCCACTTGCGCCACAGAGCCATTAACAACTTATTGCCAATAGGTGGTTGGGTGGCTGGCTAGTTGGCTGCTTGGCTGCTTGGCAAAAGCGTCATTATCCCTAACTTTGCTGCTGCCGATGCCAACAAAGAAAGTGCTTGTGAATACATTTTCATAACGAGAGCAGTCAGTCACTCGGACTACTTATTGTTTGTACGAGCGGCTTCATCATTATGGACAGAAGTAATCAATTGCAGTCCATTAGACTTTGCACTCGGCTGCAGACAAAGAAGAGACAAAACGGACTTCTATTTTGCGTGACTATTCGGCATGGAGAATGTGTCTGTGTCTTTTAACGTTCTTCTCCTGACGTTAATAATAAAAAAAAAGTATTGGTTTTTATGCTAAAAGTGAAAACGGAGCGTTTGTTAGCTAGGCAGTGAGTGGACCAATTCAATTGTCTTCGCTAATCTACATATAACACGTATACAAACAGAAAATTCAATTATATGCATCGATTAGCAGGACTTGTTTTCAATGTTTTGATATCCCATAAAAAAAATAAAATAGAAAGAAAATATATTTGCGTTGGACATTCATTTGCTTGTTTATCCAACGCATACTCACCATACGAGAATACAGTAAATTTATTTAATAATAATACGTATATTCGTTTATTACCCTGTTTTATATCTTAACCCCAAGAATGAAAAATAATCGATAACATCTTTCACAATTGCTTTAAATTTGATTTTCTGTATGAATTCAATAATCCCATTTAGTTTATTAAACAATATGTGTTCCGGTCTCCAGCTGAGCTTGTCTTAGAAAAATGTTGCAATAACAGCAAACTCGTATTTGGCTCTCGCATATACATATATATATATATATATGTAAACAGTTAGTCGAATTGGAGTTGGACTGGAAGAAACATTTACTTGGCTAATGCAAACAAACGCATCTATTCGCGATTATTTGGCTGGTTCTCTGCGTGTGCTTAACAATTTCTAAAGTTTTCAACTATTCTTGTGTGTGGTATGGCTCACTTTCTTTCACTATGAACGATTATATTTAACGGTGATAGCACATTCAATATGTGTTTGGTATTTAATAATTGATTTATTTACTGGGTACTTTTATCTGAGTACCTAATTATCTAGAAATCAGCACTGGGTCTTTGAAACCTGACGCTAAATGGAATATGCCAATTACAATTCTTTCTTTCGGCTGTCACAGATCTCACAGTTTATTTTATTTTCATTTTAGCCATTTTAATAGTATAGCTTGTATTTCAGCGGAAAAATGAACCAAATACTAACAAGATTGAAATTTAAAAACACTTAGTGCTTGTTTCCTTACAAGCTCTAATTTAAAGTATTTTGCTCTCTTACTCAATTCTATTCCACTGAAATTTTGATTATTAACTATAGTCAGGGATCTCTGTTTAACTATTCAGAATGCACAAATCGTATCTTGAATTTTGTATTTATCCTAATTCGTAACATTTAATAATTTCAGTAATTTGTTATTATTTACCATTTTTGGTTGTAAGGCAAATAAAACTCTTAAGTTATGCTCCCCATGGATACTTGTGTCCACGATGCAAACGTTTTGCTCTTAAGACTAGAAATTCATGAAATATGAGTACTATATATATATTGTATATATATATATATATTAAACTGTATTATACTAAGTATACCAATGTATTTGAGGGAGTTCAAAATATGCTTGTTTTTGGTATTAAAATTTATACTAAATGTGTTGATTTCTCTAGATGCATTAAAACAATGGGAAATTCTCGTATGCACGAGTACGTGTCGCGAGCCTTTGCCTATCTTAATCCATTGAAGGTAATTTGATTTGGTTATGATTACAGAATAGCCTCTAAACTGTCATTGTATGATTAACCGCAGAAATATGCGTAAGTTTTAATTTCAAATGCTACTAACTTGATTAGATAAACGGAGCGACAAGTGAGTGTTACGTTATTTACAAGTAGAAGAGGTCTTCGACCTCTGGCTCTTGGTTTCTTTCAGTTTCAGAGCGATAGTTGAAAACGTTTGCTGGCATCTGAAACTGATCCTAGAAACATTGGCTACGACCAGACGTAGACATTTGTAGGCCGCTGCTAATGGTGGGCGTGGTCGAGCGAGTGTCACTGACAGTATTCGGCGGCTTCAAAGTGTGCCCAGTGTTGGCCAATAGAATGGAGGCCGGTCCTGGCGAGGCAGTCACTGTGATCGCTGGTATGTCCGACTTGTTGCTATTGGTGGGTGTGCCCGCACGGCTGCCAGTCGATTCAGCCACTATGGGCGAGCCCAGACCCATGGTGGCTGACATCGGCAGCATGTTGAAATTCAAGTGCGGCTGCGGCCGTACCGCAATGGCGATAGGCAGTGAAGCCTTGCGGTTCAGCGAGTGTCATCCAAAGAAATACTGGCCGCTGCTCTCTGTCGAGATGCCCCTTGCCAGAGTGCGCGGCACCGTGCTATCATAGTAGACACCGCTGCCGCTGGTAGCGGCCAGCGAGTGCGGCGGCAGGGCCATTCCGCCGCCGGTTCCCAGCATCGCGGGCGGTGGTGACGGCGAGCTCATCAGGCCCATGCTAGTCGGTATCAAAGTGCGCCGCAGGGTGCCTGCATGCGTGTGCTGATGTCCAGGCACCATGATTGTGCCGCTCAGATAAGCTGGTGCGACGCCACTCAAGCTCGAGGGGCCCAGCATGTGAGGACCTGTGGAGTAAGAAGTGGTAATTGGGCATATGGGTAATATGAGAACGGAAGCTGAAAGCAAGTAGGCTGCAAAATTGTACCTATAACAGTGTTACGATCACTTTGCTTAAATTAAATAGCAAAAAGCTCTTTATGTATGTATATAAATTTATATTTTACATACTATGCCACTCACCTATAGTCATTGCTCCGCTCACAGCTGGATGGCCCATGCTGGTGTAAATGTTGGCCTGTGAAGGTGGTGCCATCAGCACACTGGTTGCTGTGGACGAAGGATGATGTGCTTGGGCGCCCGGTAAGCCAGCGTAGCTGCAGTTGGGCGTCGGTGCGTATGTCATGTAGGTCTTTTGTTTGTTTGGCCCAGGCCCAACAGTTGGCAATGCCATTTTGCGCCACATGCAGATGATGCCGAGATGTTGACGTTCAGGATGACGGCGACGACAAAGGATATGAAAAGGCAGAGTAAAGCAGAGTTAAGCTGCTGCTCATTTATTCTCGCTATTGTCTGCAACATGCCCTTCTCTCACTTTTCTCTTTTAGATACGTTACCATAGTAGCGTTTGCCCCTTTTCTTCATTTAAATGCATATTTAAAAATTAATAAGATTGCACTGTGCAGAGACAAGATTGCTCATATTAACTATAAGCAACTCAATGAAAATGATTGCACTGTTCCTACCAGAAAGATACACGTAGCTACTTGTTCAAATCCCTTTTCGTCCTGACTGCTTACTTCAAAATTGTTCATTGTCCCTGGATTTATGTGCTTGTGCAAAGTGCTTTTGATTTTTCGCAAATGCTTCGCAATCAAGAATAAACCTAAAATAATCTGCAAAGGATTCGAAGAATCGACGGGCCGATAGTGCTGTAAACATATTTGCCTTTGCCTTTTTATTTTGGTATTTTGTTTTTTTTTCATCCTTTATGTAAAATATCCCTTAGGCGGCTGTCCAAATTGTACAGGTGCAGTAATTTTCATTTTCAACCCTTCAACAAACCGTCAGAATTCTTTCACATTCATGCATTTAGTATGTATGTATATAGTGTAGTACTTGTATAAGGCGGCTTTTTGTTGTTGCTCGCTGCCCCTTGCTCAGAGCCCATGAAGTAAACAACAAAAAGTACAAAAATTGTTGCAACGAACATTCAGAGCAAGGCTACTAGCATTTTCCCAGCGGAGGTGGGAGTTGAGGTTGAGCAGAAGGGCGATTTAAGGACTCCTCGCTTTTGTTTGCCCAAAATGGGTTAAATGGCAAGGGAACTTCCCAGGCGCCCAGTTTCCTCTCATTTCCTTTGAACAGAACCACAACAAGCCCGTTGCTTTTGATGCGCCCTCGTTGTCTATTGTCGGCTTGAGCAAGGACAATGAAATTTCCATATTTAGAAATGTTTATTTACCTAAGGTAATGACTACAGGTAATGACCAAGCCACTAGCTTTCTGCTGGGCTGGATTACTCTGCAATGGGCATGTAGACAGCTTATTGCAGCTATTGAAAGGTGATTTTGTTAATTACCGTATGCTAAGTTCCATGTAATTGTACTGATAACCAGCAGACAGGATTGAGCTCTAAGCTATGCCCCAGTTTAACCAGTTGCTGCTCCCATACCTATAGCCATGCCTATAATATGCGTATTTAAACAATTCCAATTGAAACTCACCTCATTCCGTGATGATAGACTGGACAATGGTACCGGCGTTGTTAAGTCAACGTCAACATCGATGTCGGAGATGTCGTCGCCGAAAGTGTCGGCCAGATGGGTTTCACCTGTTGCCATCTGTTGGAAATTGCTGCCACCTCCGGCACCGCTGCCACCTGTGCCATCAATTGGCGTTTCAGCAAAGTTCTTGGCCACGCCGCTGACACTTGAGCTCCTTTTCAAACGGCCGCCACGTCGCTGGAGGGTGAGCCGACCGATGACAAGCGTCAGACAAAGCAGAACACCCGCTGTCACCGATATGATTAAATAGAGGTAAAACTGTTCCTGGTGCTCTGCATGCGAAATTGAGTCAAAGTAGAAGATATAATGCAAATAAGTAAAGGGCTTTGTGAATAGATTCCTAATTTCCTAATATCAACTACAAGTAACGTAACAAGTAGTTAGTGTAAGCCTGGCGAAGCAGCATGATGAGTTTTACACTTGGCTGATCTTCAGTGACTGTGTGCTCGTCAGCGCGTTGTCTGCATTTGCGTGGGCGGAACGTAGTGAGTTAAAGTTTTAATCGGGCGACTTTGTTTATGACTAAAACGAAATCAAAAAGTTTACCATGTGGTAAGCAACGAGCTGGGTGCAACGTGCAGCACATGCAACTTTGTGTGGATGGGCGCGGTCCCTACCACAGTCACAGCCACAGCAACAGTCCCAGCACCTCGACTATGCTCTGTTGATGACAGCCGCTGAGCCGACAGCTGAGGCGCTTTTTTAAGGCATGGATATGGGGAAACGGAAAGATGTTTTCTATTTTATTTTTCAACATCGTCTACAGTGTTTCGAAACGTGACATAGCTGTGGTATAAGTTCTTCTGCTTGTTGCTGTAAAGTTGTTTGCGACCTGTGTGCTTGGTTGTGTGAACAAAAACTTCGATTAGTTACACATGAAAGCCTTAGCCTAACTGAACGAACGACATGCCAAGGAGGGGGAAGAAAACGTCGGGATCTCGAACTCACTTCGGATGTGCAGATAGGTGTGCAGCCAATTTGCCAAGAAACCAACCACTTCGACACGTTCAGTGACGATGTCCTCCTCGGTGCAGTTCAGACCTATTGGCCCCCAATCATCAACCATCTGGCACTTGCGACGATAGAAGAAATTTCCCTTCTGAAAACCCGATTCTGTATTGGCCTGAGCATCGGAGTCAGAGCCCTCCGTCTCCAATTCAATGGCCTTATCCTCATTATCTTCATTTGGAGCCCCATCGGTCGTTGTGATAATGTGCTCATTGGCCAATGTTGTAGATGCGGCCATCTCGGTCGGCAATTGATGGTTGAATGACTCTTTTATGCGGCTTAGGAGCCGCACAGATGACTGTAGTCGCTCTGCGAAATGTGGCAATGGACGGGTATTTTTTTTGTTAAGGCCCTAAGAGTCTGGCGGCCTTCCATCCATCAACGGCAAACGCGAATATCCCAGGCGCACCGTCGACAGCAAACACGATTTGACGTTACTTAACGTTACTAGATAATGCACAGCTTGGATGGATGCTAAGCGTGCTATATGACTCAAACGCCAGGAACACAGCTGGCTAATGAAGACGGATGGGCGTGCTTTTAAAATATTTATGCACCGTGCGCTGTGGAGGCACTTTGTAGCAAGTGAAAGACATGGCGCATACCGACGCGACAGACTCCATTAAAAAGTGATACGAGTACGTTAAGCGAAATCAAATTATGAATCTATAGGACGCCCCTAGCACAAATTTCTACAGTCTCTGATAGTTTCTGCATAACCCATGGGCCGACCCAGCACGACAGACTTGAACTGCAAAGCATAATCTGATTGGCATATGGACCCACAACTTACCCTCTAGGGAGCCATCGTTGCGCGATAGCAGTGGGGGCAGGAGCGTGCTCGAAGCTTCTTCGGCAGCGTTGTTGGCGCCAAAGTCGAAGGAGCGACCCACGTTGGCGCCTTGCAGCTTGGGTGCCGGCGGTATGGCCTCGGACTCCTTATAAAATTGATCCTCGTCGTATAGCTCATCTTGGTCCAAGTCTAGATCAGTTTGCTGCGGCTCATCTGACTCCGCAGCCGTTTCATAGCGATCTTTAAGCACCTTGCGTGGTACTGCAGAAAGTTGGCTGTCTTAGAGCTCAATTTATGGCTAAGATCAAATACTTACTGCATGTGTAAACGACCTTCAGATACATTCGCACATCAGCCTTGCAGGGGCGACCAAAGGTGCCGGCATCCGCGGTCACCGAGCAGCGTCGGCGGCCATGGCATATTTGCATCACGGTTTCGGTGGCATAGGACACAAGGCAGGCTGTTTAAGCAAGAACACATGCATAAATATCGACACACTCATGGATACAAGCATTGCTTACTGGGCTGTCCGTTCTCCTCCCGATTGATCATCACGCTTCCAGCTGGAGCGCCCTGGCCACCGCACTGCACACTCTCCCGTTCCGTGTGCCCGAAGGAAGCACTGTAGATGGCGATGCGTGAGTACGGATTGCACATCAGTGGCATGTTGTCGTTCTCGCAGGCCAACTTGCTCCGGAACTCGTCTGTATCGATGGGCAAAAGTGCAAAAAGGGAAGGGAAAGCTTTTAAAATGATGCCCCGATGAAAATATGTTTTAATTGCGGTCATATGAAGTTGTAGAATCCAAGTTGCAGCTGCAGCAGTAATATATATATATAAAGTTGGTTTGATTGTCATTGCAAACTTTTCTTTTGCTGTGCTGTTGGACTATGTAACGGATTTGTTAATGCATTTATGATTAATTAATACTTTTTTATGCATACGTATCTATATGGACATGATATCCCACGCCTTGCGGCCTCTTACTTAAATTTACAACATTTTCAATTTACAACAATGTGCAAAGTGAAATAAAAAAAAAATTATATTTTTATACAAATATGTACATATGCTTGCGTTGTAGTTTCATTAATTACCCATACGCCATGTTGCTTACAAAATAAGTTGTCATTTTCAATAGACAATTTATAAAATAACATGCGAAACCACGAAAGCGGTTATTTGGATTATTTCAGCCTGAATGGAATAGTAGTAATATATGAAACATGTCACAATATTTGGTTTGCAAGGATTTTATAAAAACATAAAACAATTTTATCTAATTTACAGACTAAACAAATATCCAGGCAAACTTCTAGTATGCTCTATATCATAAAATGTAATTACTGTGAAAAGTTTAATTTCCTAGTTCTCACGATGTCATCAATCAATCAGTCAGTTAGTCAGTCAGTCAGCCAGTTACTTGGAATGTAAGGGCACACATTTTTATAAGTATATAATAATTTAGTACTTTTCCTTTTGCGAAAAACTACAAATGTCCTTTACCCTTTGTAAAGTCTGTACAATTGCATTTTTGTTAGTATCAAAGCTTTGCTAAATAATTACTTATACGCCAAGTCGTAATTTATCAAATAAAAGTCTAATATCCAATTACTGTGTTTGGCTGTGTGTATCCTCAATATCTAAGGACGGAGGCGACACACATACATACATGCACTGCATTGCACATATGCTTAGTAATTTACCACTACGTACATACATTTACGGCTTACAAAGCAAATTGTTGGAAGTCAGCCAAGTTGAGATTTGCAATTGTCGAAGCACAGTCGAGTAAGATTTTCAAGATATTCGTTTCCTTTTGCTCGTTTTGCTCAAAGAGCTCAGAAAAGGACGAAGCTGAAGCAATTATGAATTGCGCTGCCGGCGCTCTTTTTCTTGCTGTGCACTTTGACAGGCACCTTAAAATGTTTCGCATAGCATATATACTTATGTTATATGTACACAGATACATACGTGCATACATACATACATGTATGTATGTACATCTTTTGATGCATACGAAGAGAAATGTCTGTGGCGAGAGGACGGTCCGAGATGAACTTTAATAAATTTGGTAAATATTTGCATAGCATGTTTACAGGCCTGGGCCTCTGGCATTGACTGCATAGCCCCGGCCTTTGGATGTGACTCCCACATGGTACGTGCACGGCCGTCCTATTGGGTGCTGTGATTCCCTGCTCCTTTTAAGAGTGCGAGTGCACGTTTTATTATGGAGAGACGTGAGAAAAGTTGAAAATTGCCATATTTTTATGACCACAATGTGCCGTCTGGCACGGTGTTCTTTCTCTCCAACCCGAGTCCCAACGCCGGCTGGGTCTGCTGTGCATTGCTTGCCTCAGGCATCGTTGGCTAGGTTTGGGCTTGGGTAGCTTGGGGTAGCTTTTGGTGAAGCTCCCACGCACATAACCAGGCCGTAATTTTTCAACGTTTTCCACTCGTACTTTGCAGTTTTATTACTTGTCGCTGGTGTCCATAATGAGCAAAAGATAACAGACAATTTAGAAAAAAGAAAACGGCTCTCCTTAATTATATTACCTCAGCAATGGCCCCGCATTGCCCTCTATGTGCTAGTCCGATGTAGTGAGCTATGCGGACCAAGTACAAGTTGCCCTTTTTCAACCCGCTGTGCATTTCCCTTTTTCTAATTTGAATGCGGCGCTCCTCCTTTGTCTCGTTCCAGTTTGTTTCACTGCTTCGGTTTGTTTGTGTGCTTTTTAACAAGATAACATCTGCGTCACTTGTCACAAAAAAACAAAAAAAAAAAAAAAGAGCGCAGAGAAAATATTTCTGGCAAAGCTGCAAAATGCTGGAAATGGCTAAAAGGCTGACGCAAATTACCAAAGAATTACAACGAATGCACAGAACTGCCTTTTGCACTGCCAGCTCGAATCTGAATATAGTCGAATTGAACTGTCGGTTCGGGGCATTAAGAACTCGTTTAACGACTTTCATCCATTGCAGCAGTATGGCAACAAAGACAATAACGACGACAACGCCATTTCCAGGTTCTGCGTTTCAGGTGAATCTGAAAGCCGATTGCCGGCTTGGTGTGAGAGGCAGCACTTAGGTGGTTCATCTGCTCGCTTATCGGCTTATGTTTGCCGAGTGATTGCGATTAAACATGAATTGCTTAGCGGATCGTAAATAATCGAGCATCATTAGCCCAATCGCCATTGGCGCTCGCCCAGCTGGAGAGAAGAAGATGGCAATGCCATTGCAAAAATGCACAGAGCAAAACTATGCAAATAACTCAGCAAAAAGTTTATTCAACTATTTTTAATGTTCGCAAAAGCAAAAGCGCAGCTGTATTTTTCATTACGCTTCTAGCTAAATTTGCAGCACAAACCAACCGGGACCCAGTTCCCAGTACCGCCCACTCTTATCGCCATGAACTTCTATTTAGTTGAAATTCTCATTAATTTTGTTTTTTTTTTTTTCGCCACCCTTGCAAAAGTATGAGACGAGGACTTTTCGAATATTATGATAGCACCTTTTGCTCTGGAGTCCGGACTTGGACTTGGATAATAATTAATATAAGGGGCCTGTGAAATGTGACCTATGCAATATTTTGTAACCCTTCCAAGCTTAAAGCTACCAGAACTAATGCCTAAACTTCCATTTGGTTACTCCTATTGTTTAATCGTATTTTATATGTACATATGCATTTAGAAATATTCATCTGTAAAGATATGCTTTTACCTGTAATTAATATACAAAATTTATTTTAAAGTAATATTCATTTCTATGGCTCAAGTCCGGAGCAATTCTCTGGCCTGGCATTGAAATCATTTGCACATGGCTTCAATAAATGACGGCTTATTTCTTTTAGTGAAAATAAATTTGTTTGTTTGCCTCAGAACTTAAATTGATGTTTGGCACTTTTGCATCTGGCAAATATTTATTTTGCCGCTGCGCAAATAAAATATATCATGGTTAACGGGGCAAGGACAAAAACGAGAATATGCTCGCCCGGCACATAACCTGGGCTGCTCAAGGCCTCCACTCGGCGCTCCACTCCCATCGATTATATTTTTAAAGTCCATGCAAGTGAGTGTAGACTGTAGGGAGAAGCGGGCCGGTGGGCTGACCTGTTAAAGCGCTGGCATACTTACATGGACGGCATTTGTAGGCAATCTCGACGAATTTTCGTATGCCCGAGCAAGGATCTCCGCTTGTGTGCGTTTTGGAATTCGCAGCGAACTTGCAGTGCCTCTTCTTTTGGCAGGCATCCACCACAGTCTGCAGCAGGGCATACTGTAAGAAAGCAGATACAGACAGTAAGATATAGTGCCCGTAAGTACATATGTATGTAGGTATCTGTAGTGTGTGTAATGGCAGGGCGTGTGGGCAGGTTCGATGAGGGTGCTATTGATAGATTATTCGGCACATATGGCAAATGCAGCCGTATCCTTGGAGTCAGTGGTAAACGGCAAAACGAACAGGCGGCAAGGCAACAAAGGATGCTGCTGGCACCGGCGTGGCACCACCTCACCTCCTTGAGTCGTAAATCTCTGTCGGCCTACAAGATTAAGCTATGAATGCATTTAACAATTCCACTGCGGCAACAGCACTCAAATGTTGCATATATAATGCTGCATATATTATTAGTGTAGCTTGGCACTGTTTACATTGCATTGAGCAATTGTTTTGCAAGTGAGAATACATAGGTGCATAATTATAATCAGATTAATAACTTTAAATTGTTCGGGGTGGTGTTAATTGTGCAATTACTTAATGAATGGCTCACACACAAGCAGCTGTAAACGTGTCATCCTCTCTCTTGAATGCATTGAATGAAAATACCACAGAAATAATATAAAAACAAACTGAATGTTTGACTTTCGATTAAATGAAATAAGCGATAATAAATATTTGGATAATATTTTAATTGCATAAAGAATTGCAATTATTCTCTCAAAATGCCACCAACTGCTTTTGCTGAAACATGTCGAACTTTGTTTATATAAAAGCGCTTTAAGGATATCAAAGCTTATCAATATTATGCATAGAATGCATATGGTATGCATGATAGAAAACTACCGCAGTTAACAAGTATTTAGTTGGACTTCTGTCAAATATTTTGATTTGTACTTAATTAGTTAGATATTTGAAACCGCACTCTGTGTATCACAAACGGAAACGTGCCACAGCCGTAATTGCATTTTGAGGTTTTTGCCACCCCAAGAAGCTATTTTCTGTACCTCGATAAGTGAGTCCCACGCACGAGTGCTGATTGTGAGCTCTCGTCTCGCAATAATTTGTTTACCCTTGTTCCGACACTCGCTCGAGCGTACTCTTGCTCGCTGCTTTACGGGTCACTCGCAACCACATCTGCAAACTGGAGTAAGCTTAAGCTGGCGTTACTGCAATATGTGCCCATAAGTCAAAGGCGGAGCTTGCGGCCGGGCGCAATTCAGTTCCGCTTTAAGGAACCGCCGGAAATGGAGTGTGTGTGGGCCCTTGTGCTAGTTGCGGTTATTCTCGACCGCATGTCACACATCACCCATAAAGTCATCGTCTTACTGCGAATTGATGTGCGCAATGAAACTCAATGGGTGCAGCTTCGTCACAAGCTATTTTCGAAGGATCTGGTTCAATGAAAAATTAACCACAACATCGGTTCCACTAAAGCTACCAACATTGTTGAATTCGAATACCAAACGACCTCATAAATGTGACAAATTGCACTATACACACATACACACCCACATCTACACTCTAACACACATAAATACAAATGTATGTACAAACAACTTTTACTGAACTAAATTATACTGAACAATGTATAGAATTTCTCTGGTTTGTATCCCGTACTTTTACCCATAAGTCTGTCGGCCTGGGGAATCAAATTTTGTATGCAGAGTCCTAGAAACCATATGTAGCATGATTTCATTTCAAAGTTTGAATTTGCTCTCTATGCACCCGCAGTTCAATAAAACGATATTTGTTAAATCCTAGTCAAGGACTCTTAATTTTCTGATAGCAGTAGCTACAATTTGTATTTGCTAATATTTGCCGGTTACATAATAAGCCAGCTGGAATATTTTGGATGTTTGATGTAATCATCAAACATAAATAGAAATTTCTGAAAAATCAAATATTTCGGACTTATGATGATTTAGCCAATTCGCCTATATATTTACACATACATGAATAGGCATGCGTGCATATATGTAAGTATGTGCACTTAAATACTGTACTGGGACGGTTTAAGCTTTGACTGGCTAAGTAACTAAAAATTGTATATGATTTATGCCTTCAGCTTGGCCAAAGTGAATCGAATCGATTTTCATTATGAATTATTGCTGTTTTTATGGCATCGTTCTACTTCACTGATTTATTTGAACTGCCTGCTTTCGTATGTGGAGTGTAGGTGTGTGTGTGTGTGTGTGTGTGTTGACCAAAAGAGAGCCATTTTATCGCGTATGTATGTATGGCAATGTCTTTGAATGCACACTGTGGAATCGTGCGGAAAATGGGAAAAATACATTTAGGCGAAAAAGGTAAGCCGTAGCAAGGCCTGAGCTGTTCAAGCCGATGTCGTTGCAGTATGTAGTGGCTGGCTCCTGTGCCAGTATACACAAGTATTCATATATTTATATGTATAGTATATGAATACGTACAAGCGTGGGTGTGTGTCCAGCTGTGTGTTGAACATGGCTGAGCCTTCTTTCGATGATGAGTGCGACGATGATGGAATTGCAATTATACTGATTCAGCTTACCTGTAATCCGCTTACGGTACACGTTTCCGGCGGTTTGACTTCGATTTCTGTGCCGCTGTGGATGACAGCATCGCCGGCACTTCCGGTCGTGGTGAGGTCCTCTTGCGAGACCGGCGGACACAAGCTGTGGTCGGATAAATCTGTTCAAGTAGACGAGAGGGCAATTTTTTGTGAACGTGTCGTTGGTGTCGCCGTTGTCGTCGTCGATTTTCCGAAGTACTCAAAAGTGGTGCGAAGTGGGGTGGGCTGAAGTGGAGTGAAGTGGCACAGAGTGGTTCTGGAGGTCGAGTGCCATGTGCCATGTGCCAAGCAGAGGCAGCATTCAATGCAAACGCTTTGGACGACCATCCCAATCGGTAAGCATATCCAAAAGTTGCTGCCGACCCAGCCCGGTCAGTCATACGTACGTATACTTGATATGGGCGTTTTCGGAGCACGGTCCAATTCTGATTTGCTCGCATTGTGATTGTCTGTATGGCTGCCTGGTTGTTTGCTTGCATACTACATCTGCCACTCGTGTGGGCGTGGGCAAGTACACATTGAGCCAAAACATGGCCACGTGCACACAAATAAGTAAAATACAATGCGTACAATCGACGCGTGTAACGGACAAACTTTGGGCAACAATCAATCAATTGCGATATCGGCAGTCGCTTCAGTCCAAGTGCCCGACCATTCGTTGTTCAGTTCACTTGACGCTGGACCCAGCTCCACCTACACCTACACCTCCTACACCTCCGTCTACACTTACCATCCCACATCCACTTCGCTGATTCGTACGTGACAATGGAACTTACCACCAGCTCGTCCGTACTGGGCCAGCTCTATGGAAATGCTAGTGCCACGTGGACAGCTGAGTGACAGCTGTTCTGAATCGCATCCGGCACGCTGGTACGTCCGCAAGGTGGCCGCTAGGAGAGCTAAAAGCAAACAACGCCGAAATCGGGCTGCATTAATATATAAATGAAGCACAAGGCGAAAGTAGAAAAAAATATATAACGCATATCAAATGCAAACAGGCAATCAACTACATGTAGAAATTCGCAATGGAAGTTTAATCAAAGCATTCCAGAGTGGGAAACCTTAAAGGTATATCATTGCCTGGTATACTAAAATAGTATTATTATAACATGAATTTGCAAGATAAGAAAATAAGCTATAGTTGTAGATAAAATTATATAAGCATATAAGTACATTTTGGGATTTTCCTCTTGCAACATTTATTAGGTCATTTCGAAGTGTTACGGAAATAAAATATATTCAATTAAATTTACCATAAACGTCATTTTCGTTATTTGTTTGTGTCTTTATTTTCAGGGAATTGACATTCATGAATTCTATCAGCCTATACATAATTCAATAGGCCAATAAGTATGAACAAAGAGGCTTTAGTAGACCAAAAAATGTTGTATTTTTTCAAACTTTTTCTGCGCATTTTTTTAAACTTTATGAGCTCAATTTAATTTTAGAAATGCGTGTGAATTTGGAGGTTTATCAGCGGTTAAAAAATAGAAAAATTACAAAAATAATTGTATTTGGTATGAACGTTAAACGGAATCAAATTGCGCAGTGAAGTGTGGCAAGGTAATGCCACAGTGTCTAATGGAAAAATAGTCTCGAAGTAAATTGAATTTCCATTATGCAATCGTTCAGTCTTCAACTTAACTGACACTTGACACCTAAGCAAACTCAGACATTCAATTTCATGTGAAATTATTTCCCAACATTTCTTTTCGTAGCGCTCGGCAGCGGAAAAAATTGTGTGCTATTTGTTTCTGTTTATTGTACATTTCTCTTATCCACTTTAGAGGCGACAACGGTGATGGGGCATCCTCTGAGCCACTGACTTCATTACCCAAATTGTTTACGTGTATGCCTGTCTGTGTGTGGGTGTGTGTGTGTGTGTGAATGTGTGCGAAAATGTGTGTATGCATGAGAAAGTGTTTACACTACAAAACAAATGCCTTACAATGGCTGCCAAAAAGGGGCTAGCGCGTGGGCAGGCCGTGGGAGCGGGACGGGGAATTGAGAATGTGTGTTACAAGTACGAGTACAAAATGCGAACTGGAGCAGTGTGTATGTAAACGACACACATGTGTTACATAGATGTACTTTCACACGCATGAATATAATATACCAGTATGTTTTCATCCAGTATTTCTATTATTGAATATCCATTTTCGACGTGAGAGTCACAATGAAATGTTGCAGTTCGAACTGTGTCTGAAAGTGTAAAAGTCAAAATCAACAATTGCAATGCCATATTATTCGGATATACATAGTAGTTGTCAAAACTGAAACAAAGTTGTAACACAATTTCATATGGCTTGCATACCAGACGAATACTTTCCTCGTCTGTTGCTGGAATAATGGGACTTTCAGAGAAATCTGAATATTATTCTATGCTCTCAGCCATATTTCAGTTTCTTCTTGCCAATTTCAACGAGCTTTAATTATTAGCTTTAAGCGCAGCAACTCCCTTTGAGCATCTGAATAATTGTAATTGGCAACCGGATGTGGCCGTTAGAGGAATGGAGTAACAGCATCAGTCCCCAGGCACTGGTAACTCGGCACAAAGAACGCATTACACGTTTGCACGTTTATATTCTACTAAATCAGAAGCTGTGCGACATCTGCCCGACGGGACCTCTCATCCTTAGGCCTTGTCCCGGCAGGCACTCGACGTAGACGTCTCATGCAAATTTATGCGACATAAAATGATAATAACTCTTTCACTTTTCATAATTTTGGCAAGCATTTACCTGGTTGTTTAGTTGAGCAAACGCCGACTGCCACCGCAGCCAGCCATATACAAGTGTTATTTCAAACACACACAAAAAAATAAACATGGGTGAGAGTTACCCTGTGCACACTTTTTTATGTATATAATATAAGCGGAGATAAGAAATAGAGCAGTAGAGAAGACTTAAATATTTTATTTTTGTTGCCTTTTTGCTGATTTTCATCCATATCTTATGAAGATTATGCCAGCATACCCTAGTTGCCCTTCTCTCTTGCATACAGGGTATAAAAAAGGAAAAACAAGAGTATTAACGACCCTGCGGCTTCTGTTGTGAGTATGTGCCCATAGAGTTAAAACGTCTGAAAGGTGAAGACGGTGCCGCCTACTCAGCCACTGCCAGAGCCTGCGGAGTCACTCGTGTGCAAGTGCTCAGCATCCTGTCGCCTCCAGTTAAATTTTACAGCTCCAGCAAGACACTAAAAGGCATCGCATATGACAAAGGCACAAGGACGACAAGATTCCATTGCTGCCCCCCAGGTTGCGTTCCACGGTCTATGCTAAGATGGTAGATTAAAGCACATCTTAATGTGAACCGACTCGGGGAAATGTGAAACAACCGCTTAGGCCGTGAAAGTTTCCGTTATCAACGCGAGCTAAGGCGCCAGCCGCATTCATAGACCGCAACCCAAGTACAGGCTCTCTGCCTAGAAACGTGGTTTTCGGATGACTCTATGATTAGGTGGGCGGGACTTAGCATATGTACCAGACTGTTGTGCTTGTGCGCGTTATCCAACCAACAAATATTAAAAAAAAGACACAAACACAGCAATTGAATATTTATAGCAAGTGCTATTAACGACGCCCCATTTAATGGTGGAGCAGTTGCCTGAGTTGTGGCCGCTTCTGTGTCGAAAGTTTCGACCAAGTTGGTAAAGCCGACATGTTTATCTACCTCGGCCTTGAAAGTAATGACCTCGACCGTTAAGCACTTGAAAAGAAAGTTTTGGAAAAATATTTATTAATTACACGAGTAGCGAAGTTCATGGATGTGCGCATATGAGCGTAAAATCTGTGAGGATTCCCTTTTTTAAGCGTAGTGGAAAGTTCTTTCGACACTCTTATACAAACATTTTAAATCGTATAAGAGTTATGTGTGTGCGCAGTTTAAAAAAATATTTGAATTTAATTAAGTGTGTTAGAGTGTAAAAGCATCGTTGTATGTAGAATGTATGGAGGAAAAAAATAGAAAAAATGGTTGCGGCAAATATGGCAATTAATTTTGGAAAACATTTTCAATCTGACGATGGCTATAATCAATAAATTCACCGAATATTGAGAGCTGCTGACAGCGATGGTTGCAGCAATGAGTCATCTTTCGCCAGGACAGCGCAAAAAGAATCTTTTATCAAAAAGTAACTCACACGACCAGCTAACTTAGTGTTTGTATAAAAAGCTATGAATAGATGTAAAACCAATTCAAAATTAAACATTCTGTGAATTCTATTGGACAGGCTAATAAAGATTTGTATATGTACAATTGAGTGTGATGCATATATGCATGTAATTAGCCGCTAAGTAGTCCATGGTCATGATTCAAGATTCATGACAATGGAACATGGATTGGCAGCATCTCTATTCGAGTATCTAGCCGTGACGGGCAGTTAATTAATGTGGTTTAATTTATGAATGTTTGTTTTGGCTACCCTATTAATCATTAATGACGAACATAAATATTTGGTCGCTCTCGCTTTTCGGATCATTTGTGAAACTTTGTCCGTCGCAAGTATTTGTGGGCCGCTCCGAACTGAAACTGGACAGCGGAGAATACATGAAAGCCATAAACAGCCACTTTGAGTGTATATTTGTGCTTAATTATGATTTATACACAAATACATACACACTTATATATACATACATATTTGGCAAATAGGGCAACATGGCGGAAAAAGCGCCAGCTCAGTTTTTACGGCAGCGGGGGTTGGCGCCTGCATTTGCCGGGCATTAGCTAAAAAGCGTCGCAGGACCCACTTCAGGGTACACGGGGGCGGGTAGCGACGACAGGGGACGGTTATTGCTGCAGATAAAACGCAAAACCGACGCGAGTTTCTACATGTAGATGTGGCTGAAATGTACAAAAAAAAAAAAAAAGAAGGAAAAATAAAACAAAACATTTACCCAAAGGATCAACTCGATAAATAACTTCCGGCATGACGGGCCGCGTCAGCAGGCATACAGCAGCTAGCAGCCAGGCGACTCTGCTCCAGCTACGGCCCCAGGAGCACGGGCTGCGCACGTGCCGACATTTGCTAGGTTGAATCTGTGGTCGGGGTTGGCGCTGCCGTTGCAGATGCTGTGCAGGATTGGGCTCCGGCTCGGCCATTGCCACCGGCCAGAGTTGTTATGTTGTGTTGTTGCTGTTTTTTGTTGTTATTATTGCTGCTGTTGCTGTCGTCGGCTGAGGCTCGGTATTGGCCAATGTTATCGCTGTTTAGCGTCTGCTGTTGATTTGATGTTCTTCTTTATGGTCGATTTTATTGTGTGTCCTCAGATTTGGCAATTTGCATTTTTGGAATTTTCATATTTATTGTTATCATCAGTGGCGACGAATGTGATGGCTCTTACGGCTGGTCAATATTTTCGCATTCATGTTCATATTCATGCATATACCGATTCATACTCATGTTCGTATTCATGGCATTGTCAACGCCGCATCGATCAAACCATCTGCTTGGGAGGGAAGTTGAAATGAATAACACTTTGTTTTATATACTATTCAATTTTGCTTTCGTGCCATTAAATTTTACTTGGTTTATAGCTGAAATTATTACGCTTCAGTTTTCGATTTCTTTATTGTCCTTGTTGTGTTTTAAATTGTGTTCTGTTTGTTTGCAGTTATTTGTTCAGCAGGCAAAACAATTAATATCCTTTTGCCATTTTTTTTATACATTTTTTTCTTTATTAATTTATAACTGTACAATGTTCGTTCATTGTTGATAAAAACAAAATTTCATTACGCGTTACTGATAAGTCGATTATGGAACAAAAAAACCAAAAGCACCCACACGTACGCTTTGAACATTTTTTATTTGCTAACGATGAAACAAATTATTAAATTATTAAATTAGTTATTATTTATTTTTTCAATTGCGCGCCGCGTCTTAATTGGGCTTGAGGTTATTTATTGAATTCGATATTAATTTTAAATTCAAACAAATTCGCCACTGAAATCACAATTAATTAGTTCGGTTAACAATTTGTAAACTTTTTATTTAATCACGCCCCGAAACCGAAACGCAAACAAAAATATATAACTGCAAATAGAGGCGGGATTATTGGCGAAATCCTCTTGTTTCTGACACTTTCGCTCTAATCCCCTTGGGCCTGTTTCCTCATACAATTTTAATATTCAGCTTAAATATGGAAAAGCTCTGAACATACCCTGCTTCTAAGTTAATGGCGAATCGCAAGACCACGTTTTCCTAAGGGTACTAATTAATTTTGTTAATGGCGCCGTGGGTTTTCTTAAGAAATAGATACAATTTCTTTAAATATTAACATAAAAACTTAAATTGTACACCTGACGTTCGTTAAGTATGAAATTGTATACAGCCAGCTTTCAAATGAATAGCTAAAGTGACTGGAAATATTACTCTCTATGCTAATCAAACGTACATTTGTTGTCCTGTGTGGGGCGAGTTATATAGAAGCCATTGAATGGTGTTATTTTTGAGCCAAGTAAAGAATATTTTTAACTAAAGTTTTTAAATTTTCTGGTTTTAGTTCAGAGAGTAAACCAAATACAAACGCACGCATGTTGCGATTTTTTTTTTATTTTGTCAGCTGCCAACGTTGGCTGGGGCTTATCAAATTGTTCTTTCGTGATTTCCCATCCAGTGCAGTTTCTATGGTGATCGACTTGCATAGATTTGGCAAACAAGTGGGCCAGAGGCGTTCTGGCTAGATTAAAAGTACACAAAAGGTATCAATTGTGTTCATTTATCCATGAAATTTCAACATTGATGTGCGGCAAGCCAGCAACCCGTACGAGATGAGTAATGGGCTTCCCTTTAAACACACACCCACACAACACAATCACAAAGGCACCCAAATTTACAAAAAAAACCCACAAGCCACAAAATGCAAGGATGTGTATTTGCTGATTTCGGGCTGTTTTGGATGGGGCTTTGGGGCTGGGGCTCTGAAAGATGCGAGTAGTATGACAAAACATTCATTAACTGACACTTTCAGACGGCAGCACCGAAATAACCAAGCCTGAAAACTGATGCTGGCCCGCTGGAGTGACGGGTTAGCACTGACTGATGAAAGCTGAACCTAGCGAAAGGGGATGCAAGTTCCGTATCGGGTTGAGTATTAAGCGTGTAGAGACCAAACAAATCCCATGTTATCCTGGGAGCTATGAGTGTATACGCCAGCTGAAAGCAAGCACACACATACACACACACACACACACACACACACATATATACACACACACACACACACACACATATACACACACAGATACACACTTAAGCACTCAGTCGCAGTCACACATACACACACACACACACACGTGCATATGTTTAGCTGCCCCGCTTGGCTGAAAAATGCTTCTTTATGTTGGCTTAATGTATTTCTCGACGTTTTCTTATTGTTCGCCTGCAAGGAACCCAAAAACCGCAAACTTTCAAAAGCAAACTTCATATTTTGCAAACTGAGCGGAAAGTGCTTGCCCTGCCCAAGCCGCACACCGCATAACCAACACCATAGACCCTCTGTTGCCGCTGGTTCTACTAGTGACACCATTATACATCCTTCTATGGACTGCATCGGCAAAGGCAGAGGCATTGGCAGAGGCATCATCATCGGCAGTGGCAGTGGCCAGCGTTGACGTCGACGTCGACGCCGGCATCGCCGTAGACGCTTGTCTTTGAGTTGCTTTTGTATCTGTATCTGAATCTGTCGGTTTCTGACGTGCCGTCGCAGGCGTTTTAGTTTTTGCTTTTGCCTGCTTGTTGAAGGTTTTGTAGTGGTTGTTGCAGCCACCACTCATGATGATGAACTTTCTGCCGAACTTTGGTTTATGGCTTTTCGATGTTTTTCTTTTTGCTATAGAAATTAATATATACGAATATTTTAACTTTCATCTTGGCCAGCATCCGCCGCCGCAAGCTGCCGCCAGCCCACTCGAGGGTCGACTGATTTTAAAAGGTGGGGTCGGATGTTGGACGTTCGGTCGTCAAAGGGGCGGGGACACCTACTAGACGGATGTTAGCTGTTGCCACTAACAAGTTGAGTTGCGTACAGTTATTTATTCGAATTTATTTAAGCGTAAAGTTGCGCTCGTAATTTGCTCATCTTTTGTGCTTGGCTCAATTTAGCGGAAAATTGAATTCATATTGAAATTTGTCGGTCAGTGAACTTATCCGCGACCACCGAAATTCCATGGAAATATCAAACAGCCTGTTTTTTGCGATTTGTACGAAAACCAAATAAAATCAATTGCGCGCTTTCAACACATCACGTCCACGTCTAGCTCACCGCAAAATGCAGAAATACAGAACATGCCGCCCGCCGTGAAATTCATCAGCGGCTTTGGCCGCAACCAGTTGCAAATACGTTTTATGCCTGCTGAATAATTTGCAAAATTGCCAGATTCCTCGATATGACTGTAAATTTGAATTAGAGCTGGCCAGCACAGTGTATGAATTGAGCTCGCACACAGAATTCCGCCGCATCTCTCAGGCCCAAATGAATACAATTGCAAATACATTGCAAATTGGGCCTAGGCCCTGGTAAGCATTGGCGTTATTAACTTATGTGGGAGCAAACAATTCAGTTAGATTAAAACCGATTTACCGTGTCTGTCGACAGCTGCCAGACATTGAAAATGGTAGGAAGCAACGTGCACATAAATCTGCAACTGGCCAAATTGCCTCAAAATACAAAATTCATATTCACATTTGTGATTGATGGCCTTGGCAGATAGGATCCTGAATATGGTAATTTTCATAGTTTCAGATTGTGGAACCCTTTGCCTTGCCGGTTCTCGGTTCTCGGTTCTCGGATGTCGACACCAGTGCTCCAAAGAGATAAATGCACGCTTAAGGAATCTCAAGCAGCTTTCGGGGGTCTAAATCAAAATTATGGCTTAACGTCAGCTCAACCAACGGGGATTGAAAAGTTTTGGTGCGGGAGGGAGAGCGATAGAGAGGTAGAAAGGTGGGTCAGGTTGCAAGGGGCTTTTGTGCAGTGCGCAAGGTAAATATTTATTGGCTCAATAATTTGGCAACATTTCGCAGGATTAATGTGCAAATTCCAGCGCCATAAATTATTTCCAGCCGTATTCCTAAATTTTATTAAATAAATAAAGTAAAAAGCCCCTCGCAATCACGAAAGCAGACGTGTGTGTGTGTATGCGTGTGTGTGGGCCTGTGAGTTGGGGGAGTTGGTTTTTTTTTTTTGTTTTTTTGCAAAGACACGCAACCATAATAAAAACTTGTTGAAAAATTTACGAGCATAGCAGCATCAAAGGACAAATCGGACAAAACAGGCCCAGGCAATTGGCCACGTGGGCTACCGCTGGCCAGCTGCTGGTCACGTTTCGGTCGCTCTACAGTTCCCTCTGCCTGCCTATACGAGTCCCTATCCCGGCCCCTCCTCCCTCCTCATGGGCGTGGGCGTGAGGCATGGTCGCTTGGAACGACTAGGGCGTGTTTATTTATGTCGTGCCCACCGCTGAAAAGTTTAGTCGTTGTACGTGTCAAAAACTTTTGACAGTGCAATGGCTTCCCGGCTCAAGAAGTCGCCTGATGCAACTTAGGCCCCAGCTGTGTGCCTATTAAATCGCACAGAACAGAGCACACTCAACCCAGTCGGCACCGCTGTGCCCGGCGTAATGGAATGACAGAGCAAGAACTCTGCCTAATTTGGTTAGCGGGTCTCGTACAACTTTCATTGGTAACTAGAATCTGTTATTAAATAATCTTTGCTACATGTGCCAAAAATCAGAAAACAGCCAGCCACGTGACAAGTACACGACATGGACGAGGATGGTGTCTTCATTTACTAAATAATTGATCAGGGTTCGTGCAAATCTCGGAGCATCTGCGCTGTGTTGAATATGGGGCATATTAAATGCGGCCCAGAGGCTCGGGCTCATGCTTGATGAGGGCATAGTTAGGCCAGTCACGCTGACCACAATTGCTTCTGTCCTTTATTACTTGAACCGTATTCTTTTTATGCACAGGCTCAACATTAATCTCTCGCCCGGCCAATCTCTCGCTGAGCCTTGGCAGGATTTTTCAATATAGGTAGCCAGCAGCTTAACTGCATTTACAAACAATTGTAATTCATTTATTTAGTTTTTGGTTTTTACTGCAGCCCAGCTCAGAAAAATCTATTGAATTATTAGAGAGCCAGGGAAATAGAATTTCTTAAATGTGGAAACTTCTCTTAACAAGTGCACCAGAATGTTATGCGTGCCAACAACGGAAACACCTGTTCCTAATATTTTCCAGAGAAGTGCAGAAGGGCTTTGCAGGACCTTACAAATTATATGAGAAGATACGCGCACACATGTATGTTCATATAATAAAGTGCGTGAGCCAAAAAATAAAATAAAATAAAATAAAATAAAAAAAAAGAGAACAAACGAGTAAAACTTAACAAAAAGTGGTTCGTGGTATCAAGGGCAAAAACATACATTTTCCGCTTTACGATGGCATTTGGCGAAAGTAAAGTGAAAGGGGCCCAGAATGGCCAGAAGTTGGCGTGAGGCGATGGTCATGCGGATGCTGCGCAGCTGCGTCAAATGACGAAAGGAACAAAGAAGCAAGCCCGCAGAGTCGCAAGTTGGAGGAGCCGAACTACTACATATTCGAATGCGAGCCGAGACCAAGACCGAGGCCGAGGCCCACGAGCTGCCAGCTCCGTTGTGGGTAGCAGGACGTCGCAACCGAACGCCGGCGGTGAAATGTTGGCTCTGTTGAAGGCAATAAAATGAAATTACAACTTAATTGTCATAAATAATTCAGGAGATTCCTTGCCAGCGAACGCCACAGTCGAAAACTCGGCGTTGCGAGCGAAATCAGAGCGACCCGCAAATACACCCCCGCTCCGCTTTCCCCTGTCCGATGTCCGCTGTCCGCTGTCCGCCCCAACCCAAGGACTGTCCACCTTCTACACTGGCGCACATCGCTTAACGAACATTTTAAAGCCAGCTGCTATTTAAAGCAAAGAAATTCGTTCACAGCAACTGCAGGAGCAATATTATGTGTTTTATTATTAACAAAGTTAATCCCCTGACCTAGTTAAGTTGGCTCAATACACCCACACACACACCAGCCCACACACTCCCTCACGCACCCCCACACACACGCAAGCCGAAACGGAACCGCTCAGATTCTCCTTCTGCTGCAGCTGCTGTTGCTGATGCGGATGCGAATGCTGACATGCCGCATGGGGCGTTAATAAAATATTAGTAGAGCTCCAAAAATAAATAGCTGATTACAGCATCAAATTCACAGTCGCGGCCAAAAGTCAAGTGGAATTGATTTTATTTAATTAGAGCTTAAAATGTGTGCTATGCTCTTGTCCAGGACCCACAAACATCTGCGTATAGATAAATTTAATTTGCGGTAAGTTGGATATTGCTTAGCTAACAAAATTTCAACTACAATTATACAATTTTCCATTGGCCTTATTAAGCAATAATTGGCCCGTATTCGTATTGGTGTGTATTCGAGTAATCCCTGAGCTGTTGCATAGTTGTCTGTGACATATTCCCTCAATTATGCAGAGAATATTCTTTGGGCTGATGCCAAACAAACAACAAGTAAATAATGGTAAATTAGCAAAATGACAAAAGTTCTACAACAATCACTCCTGATTGCCAGTTAAGAATGTGCAAACAAGCAAACAAGCCGTCGCGACGGCAGGGTCTGATTGTGATTGTTAGGAGTGGGCCAGCATCAGGGCCGGGCCAGAGCCAGAACCAGAGTTCGGGACCGATATCGAAACCGAGACCCAGACCCAGACCCAGACCGGAGCCATAGAAATGGAAGAGGGCAAGAAACTGCTTACGAAAACAAAAAGAAAGTATAACATGTGTTCGATATGATGCGAAACGCTACGGGTGCACGTCTGCCAAAAGGGAACATCATATTTCTATGCCCATTTTGCCAATAAACCGCTTTTGGGGCGCAGAAGAAGTGGGTTGGTGGCCTGCACTGGAGGCCTTTAAAAAGTAACACTCTGTTGAGCAAACAATCGAACAATTTATTTTGGTTTAATAATAATAAAGAAAGCAAAACGAGAAATGTGTGCAGGAGGGGGGTGAGCGGGAGAGAAATGGGAAACGGGGAAAAGTGCAAACCAAGTGAAAACCGGAAAAATGTATAAATGGCCGCCAGACATCCAATGAAACGGGAAGTCGACTCCTTTGCCCGGAACGCAAATACTGTGTGTATTAAAAAATAAAAATAATGTAAATAAACTATTCGCAAATATACAGCAAAAGAAAAACAATGCGAAAGGATAAAGTAAATAAATAAAAGAAAGCAAGTAATAATCTGTAGCTGATGTGGCCCTTTAACAGATACCCTGTACACAGGCTAAAGTGAGCTCACAAACTTGATATGCTTGAGGGGTATAAAATGTTCCGTCTGTAAGCAGATGAATCAAATTACTTGAATATATCGCCTAGAATCTCGATGCTGATCAAGAATATAGATACTTAATAGCCTCGAGGTATCCTTATTCTCTCACAAATTCAACTTGACACATGTTGAAGCTCGTTCTTCTGTCAGGTACAGGGTATAAGATTTGCATTTCTACAAACGTAAGCATTGTGCAGAGGTTAAATCGTATTTTGCAAGAGAGCAAAAAAAAAATTCCACGTAAAAGTGGTTTTTTCACATTTTCAGTTATTAAAAATTTAATATCAAATGCGAATATGCATATGCCTTAAAAATATTGCCAAGCGTTATTTCAAACCATTTGGCTTAAAGGGACATGAATGTATTTATTCGAATAAATGTTGTCATTCCAAAATGCGTAGAGTTGTGCTTAAATTTAAGCCCGATTTTGCCATATAACATATATCTCTTGCAATATACGCCGGTTTGCCAGGAAGCCAAATCATGCATAATCGTTTCCTCACTCTCTAATCGGATCTCATGCGTACTCGAGCTCGTTAATCCAGCTGACTGCCATTAGCTGTTCGCAGTGATATATGTGTGTGTGTGTGTGCGAGTTGCAAGGAAGTCATAAGGGTTCGGGACAAACTTTTGACCCCGTTTGAATTGAAAGTGCATTTTTAGTTGCATGTTGCCGTTTAGCTGCAGATTGCTTGTGCGTCCGTGAAAAGTTCGTCCGAGGAAGCGGACTATAATTAAGTTGAACTTGCTAAAAATCTAAGCACGTAATTAACTCAGTTCTAACTGAGATTCCACCGAAGCCCAGGCATTTCGGGCGGGTTTCGGCTTAGCAGCTAACCGCCCATTATCTGGTGGATACTTGCTCATCTTCCGCGATAAACTTGCGATAATTTAATTACACGCGCAACTCGAAACTGATGCTGGCCGCGATAAATTCAGCCGGGGGGAGGGCGGGGCTGACTGGATGGCGGCGGGTTTGTGACAATGACAGAGACGGAGACGGAGACATGACAGAGAGTGCCTCGAGTGGCAGTACCGCAGCGACTGCGGTAAGTGGCAGCAATGTAAATTACGCGTATTAATATCAATTTATAATCTGAATCCAAAAACCGTATAAAAAAAATTTTGCACAGTCAGGATGCCGGCGATGATACTGCAAATCCGTGATAAATCCTTAAAAATTACTTTTAATTTCGCAACTGAGAATGCAAAGCCTCGAATTGATGCCGCAGCCTGACTGCGGAGCAGCGGGATGGAGGAGGAATCCCGTCCTGCTGCAGTGTGCACAGTGAAACTGAGATTGAGACAACCAGAAGAGCTCCTTTGGGGTAAGCACCCGGCCAGAGTGTGGAGGGCCGCATCTAGATTAAAATAAGTCGAGCGATGAAAATAGATTACGCGCGTATTTTGCGAATGATGCGGCCCGGCAAAGTAAAGCAGACGCCGTCGGCGTCGTCATCCTCGACGTCGTCGTCGTCGTCGCCGTCGTCGTCGCCGGCGACGTCAGCAGAGGCGTGAAAAATCCCCCCAATTTAATTTGAGTTTTCCGCCGTTGCCGTCCCTTTGTTTGATTAGTCGATTTTGTGGACTTTGGCACTAATTGTGCACATCGCAATAACACACCAGAATCCACACTCACACACACACACACACATACACAGCTGCGTGTGAGTGTGTGGGAATTGCATATACAATTTGGTAAAGTGCGTGGGAAAAGGAAGCAAAACAGGCAGGACCAATGCCGCATCCGCTTATGCTAATCAATTTGAGTTGGCTAGCGCATATAAGAGCACACACGCATACACTCACACACATACACACGCCCACACTCAGTCACACTCTCACACACTTGCAGAGTGAAACATTCTGTTGCCGTTATTTTTGCAATATTTGCATAATTGCTTTTGTTGCTTTCGTTTTGTCGGCTTTGGCTCGACGCTTGGCGCTCGGTGTGTGCCAAATATTTATACATCGTCCTCCGCAGTCGTCGCCGCCGCCGCCGCCGCCACCGCCGTAGCCTGAGCCACGGACAGTATTTGCACTATTTGCGCCGCCTCAGTCGACGTGGACACCTCCGAGCTGCGGTCGCACAATTTTTGGCCAATTTCACAAGTTGCACTTTCTGTCGTTGGCACAGACATTAACATATTATAATTAGCACGTTTCCACTGGGCCGAGTGGCATATTTTATACGCATTGCACAAATAACGCGGCAAGGCACACTGAACGGCGGCAGTTGCCGCAATGCGATTATTGGCAGGATTTTAGGCGACTACGGCACGGGGAAACGGAGACAGAGACGGAGACGGAGACAGAGACGTAGATGGAGACGGAGACGGGCACGGATACGCAGCTCTCACGGCATTTTGGCGCTCCACTTTTCAAATTCGCGACCGCAACGCGCTGCTTGCCAAAAACGCCGAACATTCACGAGCTTTGGCATCCCCGGTGCGGCAGCCATTGGCGATGGCCTTCGAACGTGTCAACAGCATCTGTGGTGATGCTGATGTCACGCCAACAGCGGCATCAGCAGAGGCAGCAGCAAAAAAAACCAGCAGAGCACCAGCAGACATTCGAAACTTACAGAACGAGAGGAGGGGGTGGCGGGCACCCATTACGAACACATGAATCAGAGCAGCAACAACCGCGCGCCGATGTATACGTATCCACTGGTCCCGTTAGACTGGCGCGCTTGACTCCCGAACAGGCACTGCGAGGCGCACGATAATAGCAACAAACTTGCTTGCGCTCTGTTGGCGCGCTCTCTCTCTCTCTCATCCTCTCTCGCTCGCGCCGAAAGACAGCCGAATGTTTTCAACCCTCAGCAACAATAAGGCGACGATATGTTGAAAGAGTTTGTTATGATCCCGGTGTGATAAGACGAGATCGTTGGAGTGGTGTATTGAGATAGGGAGATGTGCTTCAGGATAATAATTAATCAAATACTTATAATAATTAATTGTTTAACTGAGCTTTGGGATAATTTGTGGTATCCTTGCTTTATGTGACTTCGTTTTTTTAGCAAATTTTGCAATTTCTGTTGGAAAATTTTCAAAAGCACAAATGCTTTCACAAGTTCTATGAGAAACCCTCTCACCATACATTTGCAATATAATATATGTATGCATGTATTTATAATTCCATATATATATATTAATTTATTGGAAAAAACAAACATTTATAAATCCTTCTGAAATAAGAACCTATTAAAGTGTAAAAATACGTACAAATATGTAGAACATAACCAAATTAAAATATTTGGGTTACGAAAATATTTTATTTGGTTTGCCTGGTTGGCCAAGATTGCATTGCGTATATTCATATTTGTAGTTAAATGCAAAAAAATGTTGCCTGACATTATTAAATGTGAGCAAAAATTGTGGCTTCTTAACAATTGCTTCTCTTTCTCTCTCTCTCTCTCTCGCTGTTGCTGTAAATGTTGCTAGCAGCATGTTGCTAAGAACAAACACTATGCGAAATGTTGAAAAGTGAGCGTCAAAGGCAGAGAGCGACAATTGAACACTCTTATACGAAAATGCGCAACACATGCGATAACGGTCACTATTGCCTGCCATAGACGCCTTGAAGACCTAATTTGATTCTAATTTATGTAACTTTTGACAACAATAGAGTGTCGAGACAAGCTCTTGTGGTTTGTTTATGTTTTCCCCAATTGTTGTCCTTTTTCAGCCATAAGATGGTTAAGTATTAATATAAATGCTGAAATTATCCTTATACATGTAAAATTGAACCTAACTAAACACGAGAGATTTCTTAGATCACACATTGTGTGCGTAATTTTCCAATTGCAGTTTGTTTATTATTTGAATATGCATAAATAAAACAACAATTGAACAACTCATTTGATATACCCATTGAACACCTTTGGCAATTCAATGAGTTTATCGCAAAGGATATGTGTGTGTATGTGTATGTAATGCTGCAAAGAAATTTGTTTTTAGTAATACAATAAATTGTAGTACAGGATAATCACAACTAAAGCTCTCAATAATATGCATAAATAAATGTAATTAAACTAAATGCTTATCTGTTGAGGTCTGCCCGACAATATACACGTTTCTCTAGGCCAGATTTCGGTTATTGCTAATGTGGCTGCCTCTCGAAATAACTGTTTACCAATAAGTAATACTTACGCACACGTTGTTGCCACAACTAAACATGACTATGCACGTCTGTACTTCCCAGTATAAATATGTATGTATGTATGTGAGTGTGCGTAGTGAGGAGTGTCCAGAAAATGAATTGAAATCATGTCTAAGCAGCAGATTCCCATGATAAGCAGACGCTCCCGGGCATTTGCATAAAACCAAGATAAATATATTCCACGACAGACGGACAGTGTCAGACGCAGATCGACCGGTTAAAGGTTAACATGCCCATACGTCCGAGCGCTCAATGAATATATATATGTATGTATATGTATACACGTACATGTATATGTGTGTGTTGAACCTGAGGCCAAGCCTTTGGACTGTTTATTTGTGTCGCTGGCCCGATTGAGCATCATCCATTAAATCGATGCGGTGTTATGTCTGATTGAAATTTTACTATCTGAAATACGAAATACGTTGGCAATTGTGAATTCGTTATGTGTGGAATGCGGATTTTAATTGCGATTGACCATTTATGCGAGCAGATGTACGCCCTGATTGAAGTAAATGCACTTACACTGAATGCAGTTTTAATGATATGCATGTAAGCATGTAAGCATGTATGTATGTATGTATTTATTTGTGTATGTAGGATAAGAAACTGGCTGCTTTGCTGACTGAAGGTCGTGAGCCGTGGCCCAGTTAAGCCCATGCGTGAATATAATCGAACCCAAATGTGGCAAAAATGTAACCAAGTGCAACACATCGCATCGAATGATTTCATGTTTAAATGTACATGAATATTCAGCGACAGGCACCTATTTAAATGTTCATTTTGAATAAATTATGTTTGGTAAACAATTGTACGTGAATCCTGAACGTAAATCCCAATCGCACGCGACTATTCCTGGCGCCGGAGTTGCCGCTGACGACGCGTCGTTTATCTTGTAGAGGCGGAAATTGCGGTTGAGTTCACGCTTAAAACTTTGTTGCCAACTGATTATCGCTGACACGCCGTGACCCCCACTGTCGCAACAACAAGTTGCAAGTATAGCTCACTCAAATATAACACATACAGACATATATAAGAACGTGGCTGTGGGTGTGTCTTTGGATGTTGGCATAGCCATGGATAACCCACATCGGGCACATTTGCTGTCTACTGTCGCAGAACGCCGAAATCAGGCAGCCAACTCTTTACCAGAACCGTCAGCTCGACAGTTTGGCGATAATTAATCAAGACCATCTGCATTCACAGAGCGTAAAAGTGAAATGTCACAATAAAACCATTTGCGAGTCCTTTTCCATGGACGTGGACAAACACCCACCCACATACACACACACACGCACACAGCCTTACGCCCAACACTAGCGACAATTAGCTTTTGTCAAAGGCCATGACAAACGGATTATATAAACGCCTCAATCATTCTGGCACAACAGAGCCCGCGACAAGAAGTCAAGGCAACGCCTCCTAGCCCAACTGACAGAGACGGTTAAATAAACGATATACACAGCGAGAAAGATCGTATACACTTTAATCTTTTTTGGGGACTCACACCAAGCACCATGAACACCATCACACACATATCTAGGAATCGCAAGCTACAGCACGTTTTTATTGTCAACCAACTTTTCATAATTCGATTTAGAAAGCAATTACCTATGGGATTTGGAGCTCCATTCGAGTAAATTGACCGTGTGCCAAAGTGCTATATTTTAAATTTATATTCTCTGTAGTGAAGGGCTCTTAGTGTACTCCGTGTTAAGGACATTCAGACAACTGTTGTTCTGTTGGTTGTTGTGTAAATGATGAATCCCCTCACGAACTTTGGCCGTAGCGACTGCTCGGGGCGCGACACTTGTAAAGCTGTCACAACATTAATCAAATCGGGAGTGCAAAACAAATGCATGCCATAAATTTACAGTTCAGTCGCCATGCGGCAATCGTGTGGTCCATGCGGCTGGCCAGTGAAAGTGGCGGTGAAAGTATGTCCTGATGAGCCAGTGCCAGCGCCAGAGCCGGAGCCAGAGCCCTGCACTTGTGATAAATATACTCTCGTGCATGCCGAATAGTTTAGGCAACTGAAATCGCAGTTGAATTTATATTCCCGGGCTTTATTTACAACAGCAAAGTGTTGCATGTCCCAGTGTGTGTGTGAGTGCGTGTGTGTGAATGCTTTTGCTTACAGTAAACAGCGACTCTGACTGCGATCAGGCCATTGAGGCGCAAGGACATTTGGCTTTCCGGTTGTTGAACATCTCGTTTAATGACGCAATGTCGTTGGCAATGATAATGATGCCGCTGCCGGCAACGCGTCGACTGCCGACGGCCGAATGTCGACTGTGCCACACATTTGCACCTAGTGTCGGCTTGGCGGCATGACAAGTTTGCCATGAAATTGAGGCTCAGCCCGGGGCCCGTTCATAACAATAGTATGCCAAAGCCCCATTTCAAAGGCAGTTAACAGGCATTGGGCTGGGAAAAAAGTCTAGTTCTAACATCGGAAGCGAAAGCGTGAACGCGATTACAGCCTAATTTTCTGAAATGGACGCACATTTGGCCAGAAAGCACTCAACCATGGAGCAACACATACTCCAAGTCCATACCAAAGTTCAACACGTTCAGAACAGAGAAGAGGCTCTTGCTGCTACTACTCCTCCATATTCACTTGTGCAGTGACATATTTGACAAATAAATTTTGTTTACTTAACATTTTGCACAATTTTGCACCCATAAAGTAAACAAATTGAGCATAGTTCGTGTTCGAGCTATATGAATGCTTAACGATAAGTCCTTGCACACACAAATTGCCATGTCTGACAGTGTTAGTGAATGTTCGTAGATGTGTGTATGTGTGTGTGTGTGTGTGTGCACTTTTGTATGTATACAAACCATGCAGACTCGTTTAAGCATATGCTAATAATAAATTTCTATGCATACATACATCAGTAAATAATCACAAAATAATTTGTAGCCATTCGGATGTTAATCTAACTATGCATATTTTTTGGCAATTATCCGAAATACGCTACGAAATTATCATTTTTGATGGTAAGCATTTATTTTAAAATGATTAGCATGCAAAAATATAATTCGCATTTTATATTAGCCAGAGGAAATCAAATAAATAGTAAAGTATCAGCTCTCTATATTGATAATTAATATAGAACTCCTCCAACATCTATCGAAATGGTGCATCTTTACGAATGAACTCTTTATCTGCACCATAAGCAGGCAATGAAAATACGATCCGAATTGATAATGACATCAATGCTTCGACACTGACGTTCTGAGTTGTTTTTGTTGGTGGGTGGGAAGGAGGTGGAAAACGCCGCAAGTGATTTCTCTTTGATCCAAGTTAAACACCTAACACGCTGTGAATCGCGAATCTCGGCAAAGCCACTCATGTGGAATACACTTATTGCCCTCACATGTTGCCATAAGGAGTGCGAGGACGCGCCACGAGGTTGGCTGCAGCCAGTGTCCTGACGGGTTGAACATCAGAGCGGCGTGGCTGACGCTGCCTTCTCTTCCGCAATTGCGCC